ATAAAAATGTTACAATAACTTTCCATCCTATTTCAAATGAATTAAAATATTATATCAAAGTTTTCTTGATCAAGGCTTAAAAAATATTTGTTTATACATATAAAGTTGCCCCAAGCTTCAAAATCTTGTGATTCGTGAAGCTCTGGTTGGATCACTAAATAATCCTCATCAGGAAGTAGACACTTTGATGGAACCATTTAAAGTTCCTTAGTGTATTCATCACACTTGAAGACATTCTACCTTGCAAAATATCAAGACTCTAACTCTCAACTTCTAATGGCAAGATTTATTCTGAGGGAAGCTAGAGTTTTGAGGACTGTCACGATTAAAAGTATGGTTTCCTCAAGTATGGGAACAAAGAAACAAAGAAAGAAGAAGCACTAAATTTTGAAAAGATTATCCAGATGGATAGGCTCTATGAATTTCATGCTTTTGTTGGACTAAAATTTTGTTATATGGAACCCTTTATTTTGCAAGAAAAGCTTGTTTTATGCTTGAGTTTGTGGAATATTAATGTATGAATCTAGATATGGATTTTACACCTACAATTACTTTTGTAATTTTGTTTGATTGCCTAGGCTTCAGAAACTATGTCAATATACAAGGGTAATTGAATTGAAAATAATCTTTATTTGAAAATTTAATTGAACTTGAAATTGAATGATAACAATGTGATTAACCCTTCATATAATTGTGAGCTTATCTGTGTAACAGAAATTCTTCTTTATAAGTACCCTTTTCTTAGTTAAGTATTTGACTTAACTATATTCTGTGTGCTTGATGCATCTTGATACAATCTTCTTGTAAAAATTATTTCTAAGTATCCTTTGCACCAGTATTGTGACCTTAGCACCAATATTACTTGAATTGTTTCTTTACCTACTTTTTTATCTCTTGTTTCGTCTTCCATCTAACACCGATCTTACTTATTTTAATACTGATGTTACCCTTTTGTATCTGTGTAAGTTATTCTTTATTGATTGAACACTCTCTTTTGCACTGGTACTTTTTTATATAACATCAGTCCTGTTCCTCACCTGTATCCTTATCTGAGTTAAGATAACACCTATGCTATCCAATAGCACTTGTATTAAATTATGAACATTATCTGTAACACCACTGCAAATTGGATAGCATTGGTACTTCCTCTTCTATTCTCTTACAAGGATGTTTGTTGATCATGTAACTTTAGTGTTACTTTTTCTAACACCAGTGCTAAGCTATCTTTTTTGAAAATATCTTTTTTTCACTCAAATATTGTTAAAAATATTTGATGTTACAACAAAATGTATAAGCTTTACCTACTTTTGTCAAAAGCATTTAATATTTTTAGTTGTTACTGTGCGAAAAAGGAAGTCTTTGCCGTAAAATACTGTTCCATTGCCTTATCCACTAAAGAACCTCAGTTAAGCTCAGATATCCAAGGAAAACATGAAGGAAAGAAGGAAACTAAATATAAGCAACCTTCAATGAAAAAATTAATGAATCTAATACATTATTTGTGGTTCTCAAATATAAATAGACTCATTTATGAAACTGAGAAGGATGAACAACGTGAGCCAATAAGAAAAACTTTGAGATTGCTTAAGCATAAAAGTTTACCTACCTTTTGTTTATCATTTATTAGCTGAGAGCTTTATTGATCATATATGTACTCTTAGAGAGATTTTTAAGCAGTAATAGTTCATTCTTGAACTTACTCTATTCACCCCTATTTTCCATATTCAAAATAGAGGAACTTAAACTCAGGAAGTTTAAGGGGATTTATTATTACGTTTGTAAGGGAGAGAGTTTCAAACTTATTGTGAAGTCTCATAATGTATGAAGGCAACTAAGAGCCCAGATTAATCTTGGTAATATAGTTAGAAATCTTAGGAGGTTCTTAGGGATTGGACGTAGACTCAAGTAGTAGGAGTTGAACCAGGAAAACAATCACTCGTGTTAAGTTCTACTCTTCTACCTCTCGTGATTGATGATTTCATTCCTTCATTTCTTTGATTATTACTACAAAACTTTTATAATTTTTTAATTAGCCTAATTCACCCCCTCTTAGGGCATTTACAGAGCATGGTTGCTCATTTTTGACTTAACTGTCAGAGTAAAAGATCCTACTAATGGCTAATTTTGCAAATGATAACTTAGGAAAAGGAATGTCAACAATAAGACCTCCAGCATTCAAGAGTGATGATTATCCCTTCTAGAAAAGCAAAATGATGATGTATCTTAAAGCTCAAGATGTTAAAATGTTAGACATCATTACTAGAGGTTCATATGTTCCTATGATCCCTAGAGACGATAGTCTGATGAGACAAAAAATGAGAGAAGAATGGGAGGATGAGGACAAGAGAAGACTAGATCTCAATGCCAAGGTGAAACTCATAATTGCATGTGCTCTTAATAAAATAGAGTATTATTGTGTTATGCACTACACTTTTGCTAAAGAAATGTGGGATGCCTTGAGACAAGCTTATGAAGGTAGTAATGGTGTTAAGAAAAATATGAAAATTAGTCTCATTCATGAATATGAGACATTCAAGATGAAGGATGAAAGAAGCAATAAAAATATGCAAGTTCGTTTCACCTATATTATTAACCATCTATTAAATCTAGGTAAGACTTACCCTTAAATTGAGCAAGTCAGAAAAATTCTCAAAGTCTCTTAATTAAATGGCAACCTAAAATCACTACTATTATTAAGGCACAAGGAGAATCTATGAGCTTAGTAGCTGTATTTTTCAAAAGTCCTGAAGAACATGAATCAACCTTGCTTCAATACTAAGAAGATATGGGCAAAAAGAAGAAAGGTGTTGCTTTGAAAGTCGATGAAGATGAATAAAAAGAAAAGTATAATGAAGACAAAGAGTTTGGGATGATGGTTAGATGATTTAAAAAGTTCTGCCAAGGAATGAAGAACTTCAGAACAGGATCTTCAAGCAATAAGAAAGATTAAAAAGAGCTGCTGACATGTTATGAATGCAAAAGCTAGGATACATCAAATAGGATTGTCTTTAGTAGGAAAAGAAACAAGAAAAGGAGAAGAAAAAGGAAAAGCCTCAAAAGAAAAAGAAAACTTTTGTTGCATGGGGAGATTGCTATTTAGATGATGAAGAAGAGAAGGAAAAAATAACAAACCTATGCCTGATAGCACAAGAAATAGATTTGATTGAACCATAATCAGATGAGGTAAGATATGATCTTTTACAAGATGAATATAATGAATTATTCTACCTATATAAGGAACAATATAAACAATTCTTGTTTGCTAAAAAGAAAATTTCTACTTTAGAAGATAAGCTGAAAATTTCTTCTGGAAAGAAGAACTGTGTTCAAAATGAATCTGATTTGTGCACTAATTTCATATCCTTACAATCTCAAAACAACACCTTGAAAAATGATTTAGCTAGATTCACTTAGGTTACCAAGATGCTAAACATTTTGATTGGCTCACAAATATGCATCTCTAATAGGTAAGGAATTGGATATCTGATAGGTTAGGAATTGGATATAATTCAATCACTGATACTTCTTAGAAGAAGCCTAAAAAGGCATCTAGATACTATCATAGTTACTTTAAATCTCCTATGCATTCTTCTAGTCCATTTATTACTCACTCATATTGTAATAATAAAGGGCATCATATCAAGTCTTTCCTTTATAGGAAGAATGACATTGGAACCTCCTTAAAGTGGGTTCCTAAGAATGACAATATTTTTAAGAAACCAACTAACAAGAAAGGACCCATTAAGAAATGGGTACTTAAAATGAAATAGTCTTTACTTGCAGGCATGCCTCACTATCTTTAAGAAAAAGAAATGATGTATAGATAGTAGGTGCTCTAGGCATATGATTAGACATTTAAACCAATTCATAAAACTGCATGAAAGAGATGGCAATCATGTTACTTTTAGAGGTGATAAAAAAGGTCACATTACTGGGATTAGAAAAGTAGGAAGAGAAAAAGAAGCATTGAAGATGCGCTATATGTTAAAGGTCTCTTCCACAATCTTATTAGCATAAGTCAAAGCTGTGACAAAAGAAACATAGTCATCTTTGACTCAAAGGAATGCATTGTCCAACAAAAAGCTAATAGGAAGATACTTCTTCATGCTAATGGAGATGGTAATTGTTATACTATTGATTTAGAATGTGAACCTTTTTCATAGAAATATTATCTGAGTAAATTTGAGGAAAGCTATTTGTGGCACAGATGCTTGGCTCATGTGAATAAAAGCTAAATTGAAAAACTTGTGCAAAATGATTTAGTCATTGGTTTACCACCCTTAAGTTTTGATAAAGAGAAAGTATGCCAAGCTTGTTACTTTGGAAAAAAATTAAAACATCTTTTATGTCAAAAGATTTTATCTCTTTTGAAAAACCTCTGTAACTCTTGCATATGGATTTGGCGGGCCTTGTGAGAATAAAAAGTTTTGGTAAAAATCTCTACACTTTAATTATTATTGATGATTACTCTAGATTTACCTGAACTTACTTTCTTAAGTTTGAGGATGAAACCTTTTAGGCCTTTAGTATATTTGGCAAAAAGGTAAAAAATGAGATAGGTCTTTCTATAGTATCCCTCAGGTCTGATCATGGAGGAGAATTTAAAAATAGTAACTTTAGGGACTTCTATGATGATAATGGAATTATTCTCAACTTCATTGCACTAAGGACTCCTCAACAACATGGAGTGGTGGAAAGGAAGAACAGAGTACTTGTAACATCCTGATTTTTATATAATAAAGAAATTGTGGAATTTAGGTTTTGAGGAAAAAAATGATAATAATAGGAATTTATATAATTTGAGGTTATTTAGAAATAATATTATGATTAGGTATTTAATTATGAATTTAAAAATTTAAATTTAAAATCACATAAGCAATATTTAGTTAAGATATAATACATAAATAATTTTTTTTTATGTGTGTGTAAAAAAAACAGAGAAGGTAGAAGGAACCAAAAAAAAGGGGGGGTGGAAGGTTGTTATTTCTAAGTCCCACATTGGTTAGATGAGGGAAGAGAAGAGGTGCCTTCATGTATAAAAAGGAGGGGGGTGTGTGCATTAGGAAGCATGAGAGGCTAAGATGCAATTTAGAGGAAATTGCAACTTTTGGCCCAAAGGTTTGAATAATTAAATTCGAACCTATAGTTTTTTTTTAATATAATTTTGGGACTCACAATCCCATTTTTATATTATTTTTCTCTCTTCCTCTCACGTTGCTCGGCGTTTTCTCGCAAGGAGGGATTATTTTCTTTTTCTTCAGGTATGTTCTAACTTTCCTGTTTAGATTAGCATTTAAAAATTTATTTAATTATAAAATTAATTTTATAGTTATTTTCTAAATAATATTAGCTTTCTAGTGATATGATTATTTTGTAGGATAGAGTAAATATTTTGATTAGGATTTTTCTATAGGATAGTTAATCTGATGATATGATGGATTAAAAATATAGGTTAAAACTCTTAGGAATATAATAAATATTATAGAATATTTTCTTGAGGTTAAAACTCATGTTTAAAAATTTTTGAGTTAAAATCTAGATCTATATGGTTGAATTTATGTGGAATCTGAGATGTAGGGATAAACCTATGATTATTAAATATTTATTTAAGTATGAATAGGTATTTTTGAGGTTATAGAAAGGTGATTTGAGGCTTCAGGATAATTTTAAAATTTAATTTATTTTTGGACGAATTTTTAGAATATAGAAGGATGAAATTGTGATACTAGAAGTGATTTGAGGATAAAAAAAATAGTTTATTAGGGTATGAGAATTTTAAAAAGAATTTGAGAAGTTAAATGAGGCATAAATCTTAAATTAGTGTTAATATGGATTATAGATCTAAGACTTTCTAACTATTTAAATTAGAGTTATTTATTTTAATGTAAAATTAATATATAGTATTGTGAAATAATTATGTAGATTATATTGACAAAGATAGTGGTGAAAAAGGAGTTGTGAAGGGGAACTTGTTATTCAAGACACAAGGTAACCATTATTAATGTGTTGTGATGGGTGTGTTTGTAAATGGTTATGTGTTGTTTTGTTGTTTGGAAAAATTATGAATTATTGAAAATAAATACTGTATATACTTATTTGAAATTATTGCCAAGTGGGTTAAAAATTTATTTTTGTTTATCATGATGAGATATTATTGTTTGGATATATTTCTGTTTGGATATTTGAATGATGCATGACTTGTCAGGGTATTTTAATGTATGGTGTTAATGAGAATTTCTGTTCGGTTAATTATTACCACGTGGTAAGCCCTCATTGGACCCAATGAGTGGCGTGTCGCTTGGTCCAACTCACCTTTGGCCGGGTGATTTGGCGTCCGAGCATGGCGAAAGGAGGATATAAGGTGTAGTCATGCAAATTAAATACTTGTTCGGTTTGTTTGAAAGTATTGTCCGGTTAAATGTTTTGTGTGCCCACTTAGCAATCGCATGATTAGTTACATCCTCATGCATCATTACATATTAATTTTTGGTTACTGGGACTTTTAAGTCTCATTCCCCGTGGTTAATATTTTTACAGGAGCGAGTCCGGCCGAGAAAGCACCAGAGGTGTAACTATGGTGTATGAAACACCATCTTTTACGTTGCCTCTTATTTTGGATTATACAATGTATCTTATGCCAACTTAGGACATATCTTCTTTGTGAAGCATGTAAACTCTAATCCTTTTTATTAAAAGTATTTATTTGACCAAGAGGATTATGTTTGTCTCTCTTGATTCATGACCTAATTTAAATATCATGCCATGAGGATCCTGACTGTCCCTCATGGTTCTAATTGCTTTTTTTTTGAGATATTTTAAGACCTGTGGTATATTGTCTTGGATGTATCATGGTAAAAAAATTTTCTACCATGATAATGGTTTTAATAATTTGCAAAAAATCGGTTGTAAATTTGAGGGTGTTACATATTGGTATCAGAGCATTTTGTTTCGAGCCTCTATTTTAATAACACTTATTTAAATTTTTGTTTGAAACTATTATTTGTGTGAATTTAATATGTATTTATTATGTATGGTGCATTGCATATAGTCGGTTGGCAATATACATTGTTATGGTGCTTCTCATTGTATGGCCATTATATAGCTAGGCTAATTTTATTATTTATATCTTGTATCCTTTAGGAGGGGAGAGAAAATGCCTGTTACTCGTGGTAACTCAGGATTCCAACATGAGCACCTGCCACCGCCACTGCCAAATGAGGAGCCTGACTTGGCGGAATTAAGAATGCTTGTAAAGACATTAACAGACAAGGTTCAAGGATACAACAAGAGTTGACGGAGCTAAAGAGGCAAAAGGTAACTAAAATGGAGATAGGGCTCATGTTGAGAGTCATGTGGGGGAAGGTAGTTCCTCAGATCCTGCCACTCCGAGAGATCATGAGTCTAGAAGGAAGGAAATTAGGCAGGAGGAACAGAGAGCCCCACCGACCATTACTGATGTGTGGGAAACTGTTAGGAAGTTTAACCCTCCTACGTTTGATGGTAACCTTAAACCATCCGTGGTAGAGGAATGGGTGAAGAGAATTTCGAGTAGTCACATGCACCAGCAATCAAAAAGTACAAGTAGCATTAGTGCTCCTAGTGAAAGGAGCAAGAGATTGGTGGGAGACAGCAGGGCCCAGGGATGATTCTACACTCACCTGGGAGGAATTCAAGGAAAAATTATTCAGGCATTACTTTCCATCAGAGTTAAGGTCTGAGAAGGAAGCGGAATTCCATGCCTTTAAGCAAGGGAACCTCGATGAGGACACATTCATTGCTAAGTTTCAGGAGTTATCTAGATACTCCACGTACCTGCAGTATAGGGATGATTCCGAATGGAAGGCTAAGCGCTTATTGGAGAAGGCTAGACCAGAATTGAGGGAACAATTGGCTCATCTAGATATCCGAGATTATGACAAATGTGCATAAAACTACAAGTAGTAGCTCGCAGTAAGAAGGAGGTTGAGAGAGAGAAGAGGGGTTATTCATATAGTAGACCCCCAACCTACCCTCGACCCACCGGAGGCATTATGAAGAAAAACCATCAAGGTTCGAGTAGCTCATGGAACCAAGGAAGGCAGAAGGGTCCATTTCAAAGGGGCCAAGGACAGAGGAGCTATCATAGTAGTTATCACGGTCACAGAGGAGCCCAACAGTATCTACCCCTGCCCCGAGTACAGCGAGCTCTCAACAGTGCACTAAATGCGGGCGTCGTCATTTCGGACAGTGCTGGGTCTGTTACATTTGTGGGAAACCCGGTCACATTGCAAAGTTTTGTGGGGACAACCAGGGCTCAAATATGAAGAACCCTTCCCAACATCCTACTGTCTCTGGCCGTGTGTTTTGCTCTTACTCAGGACACCATGAACTCCCCAGATGTCATTAGAGGTAACATCAAATCCTTCATCCTTCATCATGATATGTTGCACTATTTGATTCGGGTGCTACACACTCTTTTATTTCTAAAACTTGTGTAAAGAACCTTGATTTGCCTGTGTGTATTTTACCTTTTGATATGAATGTGTCTACTCCTGCGGGAGAATCTGTAAGGACTGCTAAGGCATGCCTTAACCTAGTAGTCAGTTTAAAAATAGGAAAACAACTATGGACTTAATTATCCTACCACTGAGAGGTATGGATGTAATTATGGGAATGAATTGGATGGCTGCAAATGGTGCTATCCTAGATTGTAAAGAGAGGAGTGTGTCTTTCTTCTTTGTCGGTGACCCCAGTCGAGACTCAAGATTATGTTTTTTTGTCGGCGGCACAAGTTGATAGATGTATGAAGAAGGGTTGCCAGGCCTACATGGTTTTCTTCTCTATCCAAGCTGAGATTGATGAAGGCGTGAAGAATATCCCAATTGTCAAAGAATTTGTGGATGTATTTCCAGACGAAGTCTCCGTTTACCCCCAAAGCGCGAGGTAGAGTTCTCAATTGAATTGGTACCCGGTATAGGGCCAATTTCTAAGGCTCCTTATCGGATGTCCCCTTCAGAGTTAGCGGAACTGAAAAAGCAAATTGAAGAGCTACTTGAGAAGGGTTTCATCAGACCGAGTGTTTCACCTTGGGGATCTCCAGTCCTTTTTGTAAAGAAGAAGGACGGAAGCCTCCGATTGTGCATTGATTATAGACAATTGAACAAAGTAACCATCAAGAACAAATATCCACTTCTGAGAATCGATGATTTGCTGGATCAGCTTGTGGGATCCGCAGTTTTCTCAAAGATTGACTTAAGGTCAGGGTACCACAATTGAGAGTAAGCAGAGGATATACCTAAGACAGCATTTCGGACGAGATATGGGCATTATGAATTCATGGTGATGCCGTTTGGACTTACGAATGCTCTTGCGGTATTCATGGATTACATGAATAGGATCTTTCGACCCTATTTAGATAAGTTTGTAGTAGTGTTTATTGATGACATTCTTATTTATTCAAGGAGGAGAGGAGGCTCATGGTGACATTTAAGAATCGTCTTGCAAGTTTTGAGGGAACATAAGCTTTATGCCAATTAAAAACAAGTGTGAATTTTGGCTCCAAGAAGTAAAGTTTTTGGGCCATGTTGTGTCCAGAGACGAAGTTGCGGTGGATCCTAGCAAGATTGATGCAGTGATGAAGTGGGAACAGCCAAAATTTGTGACGGAGATACGAAGCTTTCTAGGTTTAGCAGGTTATTATCGTTGCTTTATTAAGGGATTTTCGCAAATTGCGATGCCCTTGACTAAGCTGACTAAAAGGATGCCCTATTTATTTGGATTGACAATGTGAAGCTGCTTTCTAAGAATTGAAAAGAGGTTAACCACTACTCTAGTATTAACTATTCCTGACCCTGTGGTGCCATACACTCTGTACACTGATGCTTCTTTAAAGGGTTTAGGATGTGTTTTGATGCAAGATGACCGAGTGGTTGCCTATTCCTCCAGACAGTTGAGGCCACATAAGGAAAATTACCCTACACATGACTTGGAGTTGGCTGCAGCAGTTGTGTTTGCTTTCAAGATGTGGAGACACTACTTGTATGGATCTAAGTTTCAAATCTTCAGTGACCATAAGAGCCTGAAGTATTTATTTGATCAGAAAGAGCTTAATATGAGGCAGCGACGATGGATAGAATTTCTAAAAGATTATGACTTTGAATTACATTACCATTCCGGATAAGGCTAACGTGGTAGCTGACGCCTTAAGTAGGAAGACTATTCATGCTGCAATTTGATGGTTCATGAATACCATTTGTGGAATAGTTTTCATGATGTTCCAGTAGATGTGATTGAACATCAAATGGCCGCACTCCAGGTAGCAGACTTTGAGAGCAAATTCTGGGAAGATCTTAAAGTCTCACAGCAGAGCGATGACTACTTAAGGAATATAAGGAAGGAGATAGTGGCAGGTAAGGCCCTAAATTTTACCATCTCTGAGGACACAGTGATGAGGTATAAAGGTAGAATTTGTATACCTAATGATCCAAGATTGAGGAACATCCTTTTAGAAGAAGCTCATAGAAGCAAATATACAATTCATCCCGGTATAACTAAAATGTACCATGATTTGAAGCGAGATTGGTGGTGGCCAGGAATGAAGAAAGATGTAACTGAATTTGTTTCTAGATGTTTTACGTGTCAGAAGATAAAGATAGAACATCAGAAGCCAGCTGGAACACTGCAATCGTTAGATATTCCGAAGTGGAAATGGGATGATATTTTCCATGGATTTCATCACTGGACTGCTAAGAACCCTCGAGTAAGGATGCTATTTGGGTGATAGTAGACCGACTCACCAAATCGGCTCACTTTTTGGCGATCAAGTTTACCTCTACATTAGAGAAATTTGCTGAGATATACATTAAGGAGATAGTTAGACTTCATGGTATACCCTCTAGAATTGTGTCAGATCGTGACCCAAGGTTCACTTCAAACTTTTGGGGTGCGCTACAGAAGCTATGGGTACCAGACTAAGGTTTAGCACCGCATACCACCCCAAACAGATGGCAACAGAGAGGACGATCCAGACTTGGAGGACATGTTGAGAGCTTGTGCCATTGAACTACCAGTAGTTGGGATAATCATTTGCCATTAGCTGAATTTGCTTATAATAACAGCTATCATTCTAGTATTAGGATGGTGCCTTATGAGAACTTGTATGGAAGGAAGTGTAGATCGCCTTTGTGTTGGACAGAATTAAGTGAGAGGAGTATCATGGTCCAGAAATTATAGAGCAGACCACCCAGAAGATTGCAGATTAAGCAAAAATTGCTAATAGCTCAGAGCCGATAGAAGACCAGCCGATAAAAAAAGATGACCGTTAGAGTTTGAAGTAGGAGATCATGTATTTTTAAAGGTTTCTCCAGTGACAGGCATTGGTCGATCCATTAAGGCAAAAAAAGTTGACACCTAGATTTATGGGCCCGTATGAGATCTTGGAGCGAATTGGACTCTCTGCTGCATATAGAGTTGCATTACCTCCACAGATTGCAAGTATCCATAATGTGTTTCCACGTATCACAGTTAAAGAAGTACAACCCGGATCCCTCCATGTTATTGAACTTGAAGAAGTGAATTGAGGGAGAATTTGACCTTTAGATCCGAACCGGAGCGAATTGAGGACTTTAAGGACAAACAACTGCGCAATAAGACCATCCGACTTGTGAA